TATAAAAGGTTACTATTACAAAAATTAATGGCTCCTCATTCAACTTAAAGCATCCAGTCGATTGTTGAACCTAGCTTTTGTGAATTTCATGTTTGATATATTAAAATTGCAAATTTCGACGGACGCAGAATCGAAGTTAGAAAAGATGGGCATATGTAGAACCAAGGCGTGCCATGATTTAAAACTACAAATATATGATTACTGGTTGAATATTAATTGAAGAATTCCAATTGAAAATCAGAACGCGTCTTATTTATAGTGGTGCTTATTTATGTCATAGAACGTTTTGATTATAATACGTTCTGATTGAGTAGGTAAATGTATATGTATATATTATTGATAAATATAATTGTTCGTTTTGATTATAGTACATGCTGACTGAGTGGATATAACATATAATGATTAACTTCCCGTAGTGTAAGTTATAGTAATCGTCCAAAAATCGAAAATGAAAATTTTTGCATATCTTTACCTTTCAAAGGTTTCTGAACATTTTGGCATACTTTAGAAAAAATGGATGTATGTGCTTGTGTGTTTATGTATATTTGGATGCAATTTTTGGTCCACGATTTCGGGCGCATGGATCAACCGATTTGAATGATTCAGAAAGCATTCGATTTCTATTGATAGGGAGACATGGTGATTAGTTTTTGCCAGACAGGTCCGTTTCGTAGATACGGAGCAAAAAGTGCAGAAAATAGACATCGAGTTTTTGAGAGAACGGAATATCCGATTTGAATGATTTAAAAAATATTCAATTTGCAATGATTGGGAGAAGTTCTGATTAGTTTGACTGAGGCAGGTCAAGCCATTTCGTGTGTAATAAATGGCAGTGTTTGACAGAACTAAATTCGATTTCAAACTTTCAATTTTAATGATTTAAAAACTTTCTGCTCGTGTTGACTAAACAATTGGTTTTGAGAAAATAATTATTTAATTTTTTTTTTCAAAAAAATTTTTTTTTGTATATCGAAAATAATTTACGTTTTAATTGGAATTCTGGCTAAAGTTCTGAAGCTCACTTATAGACTTTCAATAAATAATTCTAACTTTGCAATTCAGTTTATATAATTTTTATAAATATTAGACAATGACCTTCATTTTAAGTCCGATCAATTGAGGTAAATAAACGTCGTCGTCGAAATTATAAGCTCTCATATTTTGTCTATAAAATATGAATAACGAAAGTTACGGTAATTATAATAATCTACCTGAAATAATTTATTTTTGAGCGGAAAACCGCTTTATTTTCAAAAAGAGAGTACAACTTGAGCTTTCGTTGCGTTATCAGTTATTTTACTGAATATGAAAAAAAAAAATTAAAAAGAAAGTTTCTTATGAATGACTGATTGATAAACTAGTGCAGCAATATTGGAATTTTATATACAGATTCTTAATAAAAAATGATATCGTTTATTAGAAGATATTAACTGTATAAAACAATCCTTAATCTATTTCCTGATGCAATAATGACAAATATTTAAAATAAAATAAAAATAATTATTCTTATTTATTGACAGTTATCAGAAGCAACCTATAAAATTCATTAGTTTACATTGGATATATACTTTTGATCTATATTTTCAATTTAACATCAAGAAAACTATTGCATGATATCCCATGCCTTGTAGATGTTTTTTACCCGTGGAACTTTAAGCCTCACTCTACCCTTCATATGTAATATATATATATATATATATATATATATAAACAGGAGTGGTTGACCGCTGGGTTGCCTTCTCAAAAAAAAAACTATTAAAAGAATTTGCGATAGCAAACACTGGGCTGTGCTTGTAATAATTTGAATTATGTAGGTTTTACATGAAAAAATAATCATATTGTAATTATAAAAAATTTAAATTAATTAAAAACAACTGTGATGTGAATTATATTATATACAAAAGTTTTTCCTCGTGTGTCATTATCGTAGGTCTGATACAATTTCATGGGAGTCTATACCGAATCGGAATTATTAATTATGCTTTACCGGGTGGTTTTATAATTACAGTAATACATCGTTTGAATAATGCAACAACACATTGCCGAATTGGACTAATTGGATTCGGCAAATTGAATATTTCGTTTGTGAGCAAAAGCACTATGAGGCACATATGGTGCAGATGGCACAGATTCATTCGGGCCGTTTATTAGAATAACTGCCAGCGATATAATAGTGTTGGCCGTGTTTGATTGCTTTTATAATTTCTGTTGTTATGAGAATACGATTCTTGTTTAATTCAAGTGAACTTTAACTTTGATGAAATACAAATGCAAATTATAATAGCCGTGTGTAAATTAAGTGATATGGGACTGCTTTCCGTATACTTTATGCTCGTTGAATTGTATTATGACTGAAAACTAGAACTTTGATCTTTTACATGTATGTCGACTCACATAATAAAACCATTCATAATACATACAAATATATACGATTATGGTAATATACACATTTAAAACGTAACCGATCAGTTTTACGTAAATTATAAAAATTATTTTGATTTCTATTAATTTTATTAATTGGCATATTAAACCAATTGTCAATAGAATTTTGCTTTAAAGCAAGCTGCACGAACTTGGTAAAAAAATAGCTATTTAAACAAAATTCACAATCATTTATTTCAAAAATAGTTTTTGCTTTCACTAATAACTAATCAATGTGATATTCTTTTAATGCAAATATTCTTATTATATCTGTAATTAGATAAATTAAATTCCATACTTCATTCAACAAATTTAATTCTATTTTGTGTTTTAATAATGAACGTCAACGGTAATCAACGCATACAAAACTAAACTGGCTCATCATTTCAAATTTTGATATTTTTTATATTTCAACCACTTATCTTAGACTTATATAATTTTAGTATGTTATTTAGACCTATTGCCATCAAAGTTTCATAAAAACGATTTTTTTTTTAATAATTACGAAGAAACATCCTGGCTAATCAAACTAATCAACAGGGTATCCAACTGATTTTATCCAATTTTTTTTTCTAAATTTTCAAATTGATCAAGAATTTCTTGCAAAAAGTTGACGAAGTTTTTTGAACTTTTCTGCAAAACTAATCAAATTGTATGTGTAACAGCCACAAACAGCACTAATAATTATTTCTTTCATTAGTTCGAACTAAATAATTCACTAAATATATTACTATATATATAATATGTTACATTGGAGAACCATCCGAGACAACTTGCTTCAATAGTCTTTAAAATTAAATAACATATTTTGTGCATTATTGGTGTTTTAAGTGATAAGTTTATTAAAATTGTGCACACTAATAATTAATAAACTTTTGTGGGTTTACATAAAACTAAATATAAAAGGAAAACAATTGCATTTTAAAATTAACTGATGTAACTTTCTTGAACTATTTTTACATATATATACCTCACATCAAAAATAAAAACAACTCTATATATATTCAACGGAAAAGTACAATTAAAATAATTAAAACAACAATTACAATAAAATTAATTTTTGTTTTTAGTTATTACGTCAATTATATATAATTAATATGCTAGTGAAAATTCACCATTTTATTGAAATTTATTCATCGGAATATCTTTTGTATCTCGTGTCTATTATTTTAATCGAATTTTAATGAAATGTTCTATTTAACAAATAACAAATTTAATTTAGTTTTTCGACGATTTAATTAAATGATTATCATGTTCGGAGTGATTATATATATATATATATATATATATATATATATATATATAATAGTTTTGCATGTATAAATAAAATTTTGTTAGAGGGCATATAACTTCAAGTTGAAAAAAAAATAAAAACATTTTATTTTTCGAGACATTTTACTACACATAATTTTATGGTATCATCATTAGTCTATATGAATGATTTTGAAAATTCATTAATGATAAAAAATTAGTTCACACGAAATTGGCACACAACTCTAAAACTGTTAGATTGATTGTTGTCAGAAGTTGCAATAATTTTTAATAATATTTTTGAAAACTGACTATTCTATGAATGAGTAAAAAAACACAAGTTATGTAGAGTCTGTGCATGTAATTTAATATATATATATTAAATTATCTTCTTACAAACGTTACATTTATTATATTTTATTGTGTATGGTGTTATTTTTAATTTTGTTGTTGAGACATTGGGAAAATTTCAATCATATTAGAGAAAATCAAAAAATTTTCAAAATCAATTATGATTAAGTAACAATATTTAATTCACAATCACTGACAGATATAGTATTTAGTGCCAATATTGTTCTTCACATTACTTGTTATTTATATAGTTTGAGCCTAATTTCAAACTTATTCATATCCACTGATCATGATATATCATTGTTTGTCGAAACGTCTACGAAAATAAATAGTTTTTAAATCTTGAATAAAATAAATAAAATTATTTTAAATTCTGTTGTGTACTTTTATGTAAATTATGCATGTGTAAGGTGACCAAGGGAGAGTCCCGGATTTTCCCTTGTATCCCGGGTAGAACAACTGTTTATGGAAATAGAATTTTATACAAGGCACAAGAGTGCGAAAAATATTTAGATCGAAAAATATATAATATAATCTAATATCATATATAAAAAAGTATTAAATATAATCAAACAATAAAGTTCTTACTACAAGTCCGCAATTCTGATCAAAAAAGATTCATTTATAAAACTGTTTCTTATTGTATCTTTAAATAGCATTTATTGGGGAAAAATATGGTCACCTTATGCATGTGTCGTATTATTTTTGCGTCATTAATTATGCGATCGCTTTTTAACGCAGCGCAAATTAAAAAAGCGTAGCCGCCGGCGCAGGGTCGTAGCGTCGAGGCATAATTGTTTAGTACGTGATAACACCCGCACTTTCACACCAAGCCGTCGTTATCAATACACGATTGCATAATAAACACTTTTAACACATCCTAAAAGCTACAGAAGCGCGTACTCCTATTGCACACGAACGGACGACAGTGGCGTAGTATTTTATCTTAAGATGACAATCTGAATAACTTTACTTACGAATTTCATCGCGATGATTTGATTAATCGAGAGTTTAAAAACAAACTGAACACTTGTGACGGTGTCTTCTTAGTCGGATGGTATCTAACTGATGAGTTCGATCATCATCCTTCATTATATATATATGCTGTTGGGAGTCGGCACGGCACTCCCACATAATCGTCTCCGAAGTGTGTTCACGCGTGTGATATAACGCGCGGGGGGACGTCGGCCGCGGACGTACGCAAGAAAAAAAATGTAACCAAGAAGATCCGCGCCCAGTGGCGTAACTAGAGGGTGACATGGGTGACAAAATGCCACGGGCCCCCGTTACATGGGGGGCTCAGGTCAAATGGCCACGTGTTAAGACATATTTTTTCATTGCACCTGAATGTTTTATTTTACTTGCAAAGTAAAATAAACTAGTGGTGCATGGCATCGTGTCTTAAGGCAAATTGCTGGAACTTTCCGTACCGAAAATTAAAATTCTTAAAAGCTTTAAAAATTTTGGAAAACGTTGAAAAAAAAATAGATTTTTGTGAATTTTGAAATTTTTGAAAGAATTCTTCGATTTTTTTAATATTTTCAAAATTTAGATTTTTTATGTGCAAAGCAACTAGGCGAATTAAAAAGATACATAAATTTCTTGAACTTTACAGAGAAAGATACAATTTTGAAAAGGTTTGCGAAGTTCAGCCGGAAAGTTTGTACAAAGGAATAGTTCATCTAATATTATATGCTACATTGCTATTACTAGTGGTGCATGGCGTGTCTTTAAGCAAATTTAAATAAAAGAGAATTTCAAAAAAGTCATTTTTTTAAAAAATTAAAAAAAAAATTAAATTTTGAAAACGATGAAGAGAAAGATTTTTGAGAATTTTGAAATTTTTTAAAAAAATTGACTTCTTAGATTTTTTCTTTCATATTTTAATTTATTTTTTAAATTCAGATTTTTGTTTTCAAAGCAACTAGAAAAGTTCAAAAAATACATAATTTTCTAAAACCTTGCAGAAAAAGCTAAAACACAATTTGGAAGAGCTTTGCAAAGTTGAGCCGGAAAGTTTGTATAAAGGGATAGTTTATCTAATATTATGCTACATTGCTACATCATTAAGGCACTAGTGGTGCATGGATTGCCTTTAATCAAATTGCTGGAACTTTCCGTACCGAAATTTAAAATTCTTAAAAAAAATTAATTTTTTTTTGAAAATGATGCAAAAATAGATTTTTGAGAATATTGAAATTTTTGAAAAAAATGACTTTCATATTTTTATTTTTATATTTTTAATTTTTTTTAATTTAGATTTTTGTTTTCAAAGCACTAGAAGAATTAAAAAAATACATAATTTTCTGAAACCTTACAGAAAAAGCTAGAACACATTTTAGAAGAGATTTGAAGAGTTTGGATAAAATTTGAGCAGGAAAGTTTATGTAATATAAATGCCACATTGCTATATCATTATTATTGTACTAATTGAAATTGCATTTACTTTTCGATGAATAAAATAGATTCAAATTTCAGTATTTTTTGGATTTGAAAATTTTAATTCGCAGGCTCTATTAAAAAAGCTTGAAAAATCGTTGAGATATAAAAAAAATCATATCTGAATTGGCCAACAAAATTCTCAGTTCACATTTTTCTCATTTTTCGTTTATTAGATACTATTATGATTTATTATCATTAACTAAGTTATAGTAATCGCAAAAAAATCGAATTTGACAGCTTTTATATATCTTTACGTTTAAAAGATTTCTGAACAGTTTGGAATACCTTAGAAAAAATGGATGTATGTGTGCATGTTTGTACGTATGTATGTATGTGTGCATGTGTATGTATGTACGGATACAATTTTTTGCCAACGTTCGCGAGAGCACAGATCGATTCCTATTGATGGGAAAATGTGCTGATTAGTTTTTCACATTGGCAGGTCCAGAAGTTGTCCGAAGATACGTGACAAAAAGTGCCAAAAACGGTAAATCAGTTTTTAAGAGAACGGAGCGTCCGATTTTAATAATTTAAGAAACATTTTACTTATATTGACAAGATGAAGAATTGATCAAATTTTCATAAAGGCAGGCCTAGCGGAGATCTAATTAAAAAAGTAAAAAAAAAGCCATTTGGCGGTTAATAATGCTCATTAGACATATGATGCACATAAGATATTTTATAGAGATTTTATTAATAAGTTTAAAATTTATTTACATTTCTATGGGTTCCGTACCAATGTTAAACTTGGACGCTTACGCGGCGCTTACGAGTTTTGAACTTTTTCTCTAAAACAGCCATGGAGCACAATTGTTTTGCAAAAAAGTTTAAAATTTTCAAAAAAATTCAACGTACTAAAAAAATCAGATTTTTCAAAAATGTTTTTTTTTTGATTTTCAAAATTCTCAAAAATCTATTTTTTTCAAAATTTTCAAAAAAAACTCAATTCTATCATAAAAATTTTGATTTTCAGTGTGGAAAGTTTCTGCAATTTGCCATAAGGCACGATGCATGGCACCACTCGTTAAAAATAAATGAGTAAAGTGTTAATGAGTAAAGGTATTAAATTTTAATGTAAGGGCCCCACCAAAAAATTTGCAACGAACTTCAGGTGTGGTATAGTTACGCCACTGTCCGTGCCGATCAGCAAGATCGTTGATGAGAACAAACGAGAGCGAAATTGAATACCGGCCGACGCCTCTTGCTTTTGCCTCTCATCGGTCAAGCGCTTCGCACACCCGAAAACACCATAATCGTTTCAAGGATTCCAGCTTTTTGTTTTTTATGTCTTCGTTTCGTTTTTCGTGCGATTGCTATTACGGCGGACTGTTTGCGCTTTTTTTTGGCCCAGAGACCGATACAGATATGTCAGTCGGTATATGGATCGCACGTTGAACGCTTCGGTAGCGATTTACTCGAAACTGACTTAGGGGAAGGGTAGAGTAGGGCTTAAAGGTCCGAGGGTAAAAAGGTCCACCACCAATATTTCAAAGAATAGTGAAGTTAGAAATTTTCTAACAAAAATATTTGAAAGTAGAGGTAAAAAGATGTATAACCAGCCGTCACCATGATTCTTACAAAGTCGCTATCAGGAGAAAAACTACAATGTCTGAAAATCCTTAACAAAAGTATTTTTTATTGTTAATTTGTTTTCAAATAATATATACCTCTAATAAAATATAGCTGAATGTACTTTGTATAGTTTGCTATGATAAATAAATAAAAAAAAATATTGTAAGCCCTGTGGTTTGGTTTGCAAGACCTTATTTTAAGATTTAAGTATACGTTATTTAATTGTTTTATAAGATGAGTTGTTATTTTTAAGTTAAATTTAACAGTTTTTTATATAAGCTCTTTAAAAGCTTACATGTGGGTAGGATATAAAGGATCATCTGAGCTTTTACTCTGGCAAAGGTGTAAACAATATTTAAAAAAAAACTAAATTAAGTTTAAAAAACGATTTTACAAAATATAAGCTATAATAATAGGTGTTCCAACTCTGTTGGCGAAATACCAGATCAAGGTCATATACAGTGTCATCTCTATAAAAAACGTACCCCTGAAATTTATATTTGACATTGATTGAACAATGTAGCTATTATTTCGTAAAATCCTTTAAAATTAAAAATAAGACTATGGACCTGTTTTATTGGATATCCGAAACCGCTAGGCTTGCCTTTCCAAAAACTGAATTACCATTTTTGGCACTTTTTGTCCCGTATCTTTAAAACGGCTGGACCTGCCTCTGCTAAAAACTAATCATTACCATATTTGCATTGGTTTAATAATATAGCTATTATTTCGTAAAATCCCTTTAAAATTAAAAATAAGACATTGGACCTTTTTGCGCCCTGGCTGTCCATTTTATTCCGCTTATGGGATAAAAAGGACCAAGTACACATTTTTGATAAACAGCAAAAAAACACATTTTTACAAAGATAATTTAGCTAGGAGTTTTACTGGAGATAGTTGTTTGGTTGATATGTGTTATTTGTTGTGATACAGTTGGTTTAGTTTTTACAATATAATTGCTCAAAGTCAAATTGGAACTTAGTGCCTCGCCCTATTCTAAACATTGCAGGGTTCGAATTTTGCTTTGTAGTTTGCAAAATGTACTGAAAATTGCTAATAGTTTCATGACTGTCTACAGGAGAATTTTGTTTTAGCCAGGAAATTAGATTTGCATTTTTTATGAACTGAATCGTTCAACACCAAAATTGGAAAAAATTTCTGAATGTGTAAGTCTGCGAGTCATATTTTGATCTTATGTCGACAATTTGACAAAAACTGCTGCACCGATTTCAAAAATTTTATAGCCGTTCGATGTAACTCAAATTTGCAAATAGAGCTTAACATTCTAAGGTCTATGGCTTAAATTCTTGGAATTTTTCTTCAGTTATTATATTGTAGCAACAATTGAAAATTGAATTTGGCATCGTATGCTTTCTTAAAAAATCTTGAACAGAGTTTTAAAATAATTAGAAACTGTTTGAAATATTTTTAGTTGATTTTATATTGGCAATTTTGATGAAACTTTGTAGGTTGATAGAGCTTATCTTAACGAACATTCTTTAAATGTTATGTGTCTTCGAAATGTGTCTGATTTATTTATAAAAAAAGTCATTAAAGTTTAGAATAATGGACTTTTATGATTTCAAAATTGTATCGTCACAATTTTAAAAGTTGCTCCATCTGAATTCGTATTGATTAAGTCGATTGTTTTTATATATGGGAAAGTTTTTGCAACTTGCCTTAAAATACGACTTACAACTATTTTGTGAATTTAATTTGTGTCATTAATATAATTTGTAATAATAACAGTTGTTCCACAAAGGTGACTTTACCTTCTGCAACTAGTCTTTAACATCTGCAACGCAATACGATATCTAATTCTCATTTAGTAACTTATTTTTTTAAATTTTTAAAACGTTATTCATGCTTTTATTTGTTTAGTACCCGAAATGGAGTAAAGTGCACATGTGAAATGATATATTATGGACTTTTAACGTCAGTACTAGCTTATATTGCATCTGAAATAATGAATAGCATTGCCCAAAGAGATTTATAGCTTCTTCAGAAGGAACTTACGATGTGTGTTCAAAAAGTTACGGAATTACTA